AGGTGCGAATGGAATAGGTGCGGCACAGTGCACTTGCGCGACTGTGTAACTGACCCAGATGCCTCGCGAATAAAACCATCGGTACTCGTTCTTGACATCCTGCCGTTCTCTCTCTCTTATCTTACTTCGATTTACACGCACCTCGCTCCGCGCTACCGCCTCGTCATTCTTCTACTTACCTCCCGCCGACCTCGCTAATTGTGAACCTCGTCTCTTCTCTCCTTATTCCTCCGCGTCGCAAACCGGACGGTCTAAATAAACGTGGATTAATGAAACGATGGAAAAGCTAGAAAATCGACTCGTCACTTATTTTCGACGCGCGTTGGAGACAATGCAATAATTGCAGATCGATTCATATGAGGTTTTAAACAGAAACGAAAGACCTCGGATCTCGAAGCGATCGCGAATTTGTCGCGGAATGCTCGGCAGGCTGCATCGGCTCCGGAATGCCACGCATTTGCCCTTAGGCCGTGAGACAATTTGCTCCAAGGCTTTCGTCGAAGGGATAGAAGGGGGAAGGATCCGCGATCGACTCTCAGCGCGCTCGCCTGATTCTTCTCGCAACCACGAATTTTCATAAGCCGACGACGGCTAGGAACGTTTTGACGTTTTCCCGCGGGACGCATTAAGCGGGAACGCGAATTCGAGTCGGAACGCTTGTTGGGAAGCAAAGACAAGACCTACCAACGACCAGGCAGTTAAACGATAACCGGTTATGTGTTTCGTTCGCTCTCCTTCCGCGGAACTCGGCTTCGTTCTAGGACGGCATTCGGCGCTTTTGCTTTCCTTTCCCTCCGTTCCTCCACGTTTCGTTCGCCTTCTGTCCTTCTCTCTCCCCGATAAATTGTCTATCGCGAATCGCGAGCGGAACGAACGCTGGATTACAGCCAATCAATGAGACGCAACGGATCGAAACGGAAAAAAAAGACAATTAGAAGAACGTTACGCGACACCGCGGCCGTTTCCGCGTTCTTCTTCCATTCGTTCTTTTTCATACGTGCAGCAATCTAATTTCTCTTGAATATTCAGTTTTCTAAACGAATTATTATAATTTTATGCAAAATGAAACGTTCATGGTATCAGTTTAAAAAATATGTCATTAACTCTAAACGTGTCGACAGTTTTTGTACGTGTAATCGTGTTATATTCATATTATTTACATTTGAATGCAATTTAGTGAAAAGGAGATACTATTAAAGAACGACAGTGTCCGTGTAATCCTTCGAACAACCCAAAATACAGTCGGCAATCGCTGTTGTCGGTGGAGTTAGAAGGCATAGGATCTTTCTTGTATTTGGCAACTGCAGCTACAATTTTTGTCTGAAACATTTCTCGCTTGTTTATATTTTCAAATGATTCATGTCACTTTTAAGTCAGATCTTTGATATAATCAAATTTTTCTATACTACTGATATATTTTAATAGATGAATGCATACTTTTCTGAACGTAGCATAAAGTTCTCAGTCTGTACATTACTAAAACCTTTACCTTTAACACGGAAAAAAGGAGATTTCAGATAGAGGCTAATCTCCTATTTTATATCATGTGCACCTGACCATGAGTAAGTAATGAAGACATAAAAAGTCGAAGAAGAATACAGTATGGTGAATGCAACGGGATTGATACGTGCAACTATGTATCCGTAAAACGAATCGTGTTCCGTCGAGCGAGCTAACGATCCACGACTAATTTTCGTGGCAACTCAGCGTGGCGGACCGTTCGAGTAATCTGCTGCAACAGCAACTGTTAAGGAGAATATCCACTTGTACCGTATCACCATTCCCCATCATTATGAACAAGCATAAGAAAATCAAATAACAAATCATACAATAAGTCGCAAGAGAGAAGTACATATTTTCATTGTAAAATGGTTTATTTTACAATCTTTTTGAGTCTCTGGGGTAAATTCGTGTAGCCACCCCTTCTTGTCCGATTGTGAGTTTATTGCTTATAATTTAACCACACAGGCTTATAATCTATTGCACACTTTATCTAATGCTAGACTGTACATTTTGAGATTTGTTTATCTGGTACGATGTGTCACGCATGCAACGATGATACGCAACAGTGACATGCGATATAAGTGGATACGCACCTGTAGGGATTATATCTTCGATAACCAAATCCGTAAGTGGAAGAATTCGCCGGGATGCGCTGGAATTCAAACGGAAAACGCTTCTCACGGACGTTCGCAGGTTCTTTTTTCGTGCCTCTCTCGCGGCCCTTCGTTTTTCTCAGGCCTCCTAGGCTCGTTCGCCTAGGAATGCAGCTACCAAGAGAGAGACAGAGAGACAGAGAAAGGGAGAGGGAAAGAACGAGCACGTCGCGTCTGGAGAGATTGGCGTCGCGACATCGGCTATTCGCCGATCGGGTCGGCTTTTTTATCGTACACCCGTGAATTGAGCGCGTTTCCGTGTTCCTGGCTGGTTTGCCGACTTTCGGATTCCTTTCGCGGATTCCGTCAGTCGCGTTCTTGCCGAGGACAACGCGAATTTCGGTCATGGAACGCGCGCGACTTCGAAAGCGAACAGTCGTCGGCCGCCTGTCAGCTCTCACCGGATATACCGGATCGAACACCGTCCGCGTTCTCGCCGAGGACTTTCTTTTTCGTGTGTGAACCACGACCTCGATCCGATCCGATCCGATCCGATCGAACGCTTCATCTACCTGCCGCACGCCAGTGATCGCTAATTAAAATCTCGTACCTCGTATCAGTAGAACTTTCTTAAAAAAACGATCTTCACTCTCGTGCACGGCTAAATGTAATTGAGATCTCGTGTACAATCTTACACGTGAATCTCTATTTGTTGATCTGAACATTCCAGATAACACCGTACAGAACGACATTCCATTTGCAATATCTACTATCCTGATTCTTATACAGTTCTTTCATGCGAAAACAAATCCGGAAGCAGAAACGATTTATCGCGTACCAATAAAAATGCATCATTTTTGGAAAAACGACATAGTAGAAGATAACTGAGAACGCGAGAAAGTTCATTTTTTAATCGACAGATAGAAGAGACTTTCTACAAGATATCAAACCACTTTTCGCTTTCATACTTTTTAATTGTTCTAAATAATTGTTATAGTTTGAGAAATAGCTGAGGCGAGTGTTTTACATTATTTTTGTATTGTGTATGAAAATCTTTATCCAACAGGAATTTACTACACAGTGTTCAATTCTACAGGCATTTCTGATAAAGACGTATTAATAATTTTGCAAAAAAATGAAATGAGTTTTTGTTAAGCTGTGTAATTATAATAAAAACTTGTGATGTTTGCAGATGCTTTTTTTTTATTTCCAATATATACAATATACCGTTTTTAGGAAGCGTTATGAAAGACAGTGTTGGGATTGGGAGAGAGCGATTGGGTAAACGAATGATTTGAGTAAATATCGAGGAAGAGTAGACCGGAGGAGGCTTTCGGCGTGTCAGCTTTCTCTTCGATTTTACGCAACGACGTCGGTGCGCATTTACGCGTTAAGAGGAAGATCGACGCGAGGAGACGGCAGTTTTCTTTCCCTCCGCGGTCGGGCATTTGTCGTCCCTGTGGCGGCGGTTCGCGTACGAATTTGCTCGCGGCGAGCGACGTCGATCAGCGATACGATTCACAGAGCCGGCTGATCGATCGGGCAGGATGGATCGTGCGCGCGCAACCGATCCGGTCGTTCGTCGATTTATCGAGCACCTCGCACCAATTCGAACCCGTTAGGCAAAACCCGTTATCGCTGGTATCGCGCTTCTCTGTGTATTGGCCTCCGCTTTGGTTCACTTGGCTCGCCTCTGCAAGAAATGCTTCCCCTTGTGCTTCGCTTCTATTACCACCCCCTCCAACAGCGACTTCGAATTCAAATCGAAATACATCGAGTCAGTGGATCTTTGTTCGCTTTTTTTAGGACAGAATGAAACAATTTCTTTGATACACATAATAGATTAATTTTCTATACTCGTATAAGGTGAATGTCCCAATTTCTACTCACTCACTTTTTTTTTATAATTTTAGCATAGAAAATATATAAGTGTTCAATATTTTCCAACATTGTTAGGCATGATTCCATGGTGTAATATACACTGTAAGATTCAATTGGCTTGTAACTAAATTACTCAATTACAGAACTGACACACATTTGGTTTTTTCATGGCGTTGCTACGGTTTTCATTAAGAATACATGTCTAGGAAATTAAGGATTTCAAACGAGAGAAGGAAATAACGTTCGTTGATTGGTATACTAAATCTTTACATTATATAAAAATAAATATCTAACGATCTCAGTAGGAATGCCGACATTCATGTTTCACGTTCTGTTTCAGTAAAAGTAGAGAAATGAGTTTCTTACTGAACAGAAATATAGACATGAGTGAGCAGAAATAACGACATCGAATTTTGACTGACAATCAGCAGAAGTACTGAATTGTATACTTCAAGGCTTGATTTTACAGGAAAAATTGATTATAAATGACATTTTGCCTGATTCATTCGAATGTACAGGGTGTCCTGGATTTTAATGGACAAACTTGGGGAGCATATCTTAAATACGAAAATAAGTACAAAATGTTATTTGAATTTTACTCAGAAACGCTTTATTTCGAAGTAATAAGCAAATGAAGTTTAGAAATTGGGACATTTACTTCAATGACTGTCGTAGCAATTAATTTTGATAGACTTCTGTCGATAATAGCTTTGAAATCGCTTGAATTAATCTGCTTAAACCGAACGAACGAACTTATTTGCCATCCTATAGTACTCGCAGATTTATGAACACTATCGGAGGACAGCCTGTCCGTGGTTCTGAGAATTACTCTTATCTAGTTTCCTTCGCCCATTCGTTGGACAGTGAATGGATGGCAAGGATAAACCGAGGGGCGTTAAGTGTGAATGAGACGCGGTGAATTTACCGTGGCAAACGTTAACTGAGATAGATACAGAATACGAGTCGCGAGCAACGACGATAGGAAAAGAAACGGATGATTTGATTGGTAAAACGGGTTTCAGGAGGCGCGTTCGCGTTGCGACGGACGCGCGGACAATGGAGTCCCGGTTGCGATTCCCGTAACAGCAACAAGGACGTCGTAGGTTCGCCAAGATGGGCAACAATGGGAGCAGGGATCAGCAAGTCGCGTGCTCGAACGGTTTGGAGGGAACGAATCGGGTCTGCTGGTCGCAGTCGTTTCCTCGGGAACTGGCGAGGCACAGATCCCAGCCCACTGCCGCGCGCAAGGTTCTTCCCGAACCGCCCAATCAAAGGTTACGTGCCACCGATAACGGAAGTATCATACACAATGGCGGGACCATAAGTGGCCGCAGGGCGCCGACGTTCGCGTCGGCACGCGATCTTTCCAAGGTAAAATTGTTGTTTAACAAATCAGGTACAGGATGTTCCATAGGTAATCAAGTCTTTTTAGAACATCGGATTGATTCTGTTTTTAACGAATTTAATATCTACTCCAGTTGAATAATTTAGAGTTTGTCAGGGTTTCAAATGTACCTTAGAAAAATGCATTTCCTATAATTAAAAAGAAAACAGACCTCGGAAGAATAATGCTAATAATAAATAGCTACGTGCTAAAAAGTATAGAAGGAAATATTCAACTAATTATTGATGCAGGCGGAAAACTTTTTATACGGAAATTATAAGCCCTGACGTCCTCAACAAGAAAGATTCTATGAATTTTTCTTCTAACTCGAATATTTAACAAGTTACATATGATTATTTGGCATTTTATTGATGTTGACAAAATTCGACCATCCCAGCCTCGAAACGGCGAACTTTTGGAAAAAAATTTCGTTTTTCGTCAATAACTCCTAAACTGTTAGATTTACGAGAAAATTGCATACGACCTTTCTTGTAGAGGACGACGAGAT